TATTTAAAACTATAATAACCATGAATAAAATATGTTTGTTCACGAGGTTATTGATGCTATTTTACTATAAATTACTTTTGAATTGTTATTGATTTTTCTAATTCTATAGCTTTGATATTCAATTAGCATATTGTAAGCTTTTATGGTTCATAATTAACTTATTATTTGAAAAATATTTGACTCACCAAAATGGTCAAACTCACTCACCATCCACCATGACCCACTAATTCCACCCATAGTAGTGGTATAAATGAGTAGATGTGTATAATTATTTCATCACCCACGGGATGAACTTTAACCTAACACTCAGCCCACCACTGCTCATCCCTAACTTTCAGTTTCATGCATCTCTTGATCAAGATTCAATATCAAGTGGCTTGAAAAAAATGGGGCCAACTCGCTTTGGTCCTTTTCTAGTGAACTAGGATACTCTCTCCACCGTGTAAATGAATGGTTTACAAAGAAGTGACTAGGAAAAATGGTTATCACTAATTTTAGCTTGACTAAAATATTGACAGGAACCGCTCATATATACACAAATTGACGAAAAGACGTGAATCCAATTATTTCCCGATGGGACTGTGGAAGGGCCGACGCGGTGTATCCCTCCCTTCGTTGCCACACGTGCAACCTATTCTTCATTTCTCTCCATTGAACGATCTCTAGATGGGATGCATCTCTTTAACGCCATGACTACACTCGTGTGCCCATATTGATTCATAGACTATTTGTGTGTGGGATACACGTATAAGTACTACATATCCATGAATATAATTAAAGTTAGAAATAAGTTACTGTAGCATAAGAGTTTTGTTATCCTACATAACTGTGACTTTTCTTAGGTGACGGGCAGGGCATTCGATTCTTCATTCTTCAACAACAAGTGGTTTCTACAGTGGAGATCCTGGAGGACAAGACAGACTTGCATTTGACAAGTTTAATTTCTCTCACAGATACTAAATACTTTAATACATGTATATGTACCATATGTATTTTTATCTGTTTAAAATTTTTGTATCCTCATTATTGTCAAATCGTTTCATTTTTTCGTTTATTTGATGGCTCCCGTATTAAACACGTATAAAACTCCAAAAACAAAAATAGTAAAACCATACCAAAGGTCGTACGGGTAAAGTTAACATTAGGATATTTTATGCTAAAATCATAGTTCGATCGTGGTTAAATCAAGATTGACACGTTGCTCCAACCCAAGCATCGATTTGTGTTCAGAAAAATCAAAAAATTGTAAAACCATATCTAAGGTCGTACCGAAAAAGTTAGCATTAGAGTATTTGGTGCTAAAATCGTAGTTCAACCGTGACTAAAATCAGGCTTAACACGTTGCTCCAACCCGAGACTCGATGTACAGAAAAAATCCAAAAAATGTAAAACCATGGTTTCTCATAGGAAAAAACAACTTGGTTATAGGGCTTCAACTTCGCTTAAAGGGTGTGAATTGTTGGATTTAGCCTCTCCTTATGTAACTACCTTCACCATAAATTCACCAATAAAAAACTAACTTTACTTATAGGGCATTTGCTCAATTTTGTTTAATGAATTGCCCAAGCTTAAGAGCACATTGAGATGGCTTATTATGTTGTGTCGTGGAAGGTATTTGTCATTATTTATTGTCTATTTATTTAGATAAAACATTATGCTGCAGGCGCTACACGGGTCGAAGCTCGAAAGATAATAGAGTCGAGGCAGAATATGGTTCTCAAGGGTTAGCAGTAGTATAGTCTGAATGAGCTGCATTTGTTGTCGGCCTATAGATTAATTTACATTTTACTTCTACACAAGCCAATTGTTGATTGTTCCTACTGAAAGTTGCAAGTACATAAGAATGCTTGAAGTGAAGAAAAACATAGTTGATAGTCTAGCCAAGTGTTCCACAGTAACCCTTGAAATGTTGGGAAAGGTGTATATTTATCCCGGGCTGTTGCAGTTTGTAGACGTAGCATCAGCAGCAATAGTAAGGTAGCTTCAGTAACAGAAACAACTGCAGCAAGCCACTGTAGAAGTAGTAGCAGCAACAACTATAGTCTAGCATTGCATATCTCACCCTACTTCCTTTGGTAATGCAACTTCGACGTAGTTTGGAATGTACGGGAACTTCTGTAAGAATTGGTTTGATTGGCACACTATACCTTTGGCTCCATTTCAAGGCTGAAGGGAGGGCCACTGTTATCATTATCAATGTAGTTAAAAACGCGATTCTACCTAGAAGTGGAAAAAGGGTAAAATCGTAAAGCATAGAATGAAAGCGTAAAGCGCAAGTTTTTACGCATACTGTAAAATAACTAAAACTATGCTAAGTACTAAATATACTATGTAAAATATGAGTGCACGAAATTAAGTTAAGTTAATAATTACCTGTAATTCATTTCTAGAGTAGAGCAACTCATAGCATTTTAACAATAAGTTCATAAACATAGATCTTAACAATAAGCCACCTTCCCCTTAATGCTAATGAATTTGGGAAGGGACTAGCTGGTGAATTAGATTACTCTGTTGAAACTGAGAATGTATCCAAGTATATGGTATGTATATTTTAATCTCAAATGTATCATAATGTTGGTGATTTACCTTAAAATATACTTTTTATAATATTTTCAGGAAAAGAATGCCCATTTAGTGAACTAAGTGTAAAGCGTTTTAGTGAACTAGAAGCGCAAAAGCGTATACTTTTAAGCTTTACCCGCAATTTAGTATGATTTTATACACTAAAGATTCTATTTAAAAACGAAAGTGTTTTGGTGACCTAAAAGTATAAAATCGTAAGATTTTAAATTTTAAAACGGGATTTTGACTGCATTAATTGTTACTAATTCACCTTCCTTTTATTATTCATGTATCATCCTTCTTTTTCGGTCCAAGATAGGGTCAGTAACCACTGGTTACTGACCCATCAGTAACCACACGGGAGCCGTAGGATTGGGAATGGAGCAATCCTACGGCTGGGCTGGATGTGGAGTGGGGAGGGGCATTTTTGTCCGTTTTTGTATTTTGTATTTTTTTTATTCATTCCGCATTTCAATGGCTGACTTTTCAATGAAAGAGAGAATGCATTTTCTCTGCAACTCAACTTTCTTCCTTCTCTCTTCTTTTCTTTCAATCTCTTTCCAGATCTTTTCTCTTTCTCTATTCCTTCTCTCTTACTTTTTCTTTCACAATCTCATTTTCAAATTTAGATCTGCTATCTTCCTTCTTCATTTTTTTCTCTAGCAATCGACGAATAAAAATTGTAGCCACTCTCTTTCTTTGCATTTCTTCTCTTCATCAACTCGTTGGCCTCAATTCCGATCTTTCTCATTTTTTTGGCATTTTGGTGTTCTTGATTGAGGAAGAGGAAATGAGAGGCATCAGAAGACGATTTTTTCTCTCCCTCCTTCTGTTTTTTTTTTCCTTTTAGATAATATATATTGATATTATGACTCTATACCATATGGTATTGGGTGGTAACGAAATATATATTGATATTACCACACTATACCCTATGGTAATGTATGATATTGCGTGGTAACGAAATATATATTGATATTACCACTCTATACCATATGGTATTGTGTGATATTACCATACTATACCATATGATATTGTGTGGTAACGAAATATATATTGATATTACCACACTATACCATATGGTATTGTGTGGTAACGAAATATATATTGATATTACCACACTATACCATATGGTATTGGGTGGTAACGAAATATATATTGATATTACCACACTATACCATATGGTATTGGGTGGTAACGAAATATATATTGATATTACCACACTATACCCTATGGTATTGGGTGGTAACGAAATATATATTGATATGACCACACTATACCCTATGGTATTGGGTGGTAACGAAATATATATTGATATTACCACACTATACCCTATGGTATTGGGTGGTAACGAAATATATATTGATATTACCACACTATACCCTATGGTAATGTATGGTATTGCGTGGTAACGAAATATATATTGATATTACCACTCTATACCATATGGTATTGTGTGATATTACCACACTATACCATATGGTATTGGGTGGTAACGAAATATATATTGATATTACCACACTATACCATATGGTATAGACTGGTAATAACTGGAAAAAAAATTTGTGTCAAAAAAATATCAAAGTGGATATCATTTTGAAAAGCATAATTAATCTGATCTACTGATGGGTTACTGACTCATCAGTTACTGACAAGATCCGCTCCCTTCTTTTTCTCTTATGATGCTCCACCAAAACATTCTACTTGCTTAATTTTCTACGTGCACTAACATATATGATTAAAAAACCCTTGAGGGAAAAAACATGTTTTTACATCATCAAGCAATATAGTGATTGACCATAGGAAAAAAAAAAACAATATACTAATTGTAGTCAGGCTTGCAAACAAGCCATCCAACCTTTGATAAATGCCATTGCAAAGCGAGGCCTCCACTCTCTAGTATAATTTAATTCGAATTATCATGAGTATTGTCAGACTCGACTAAATTAGGCTTGCTTTCTAATCAACATGTCAAATTTTCAGGTCACGACTAATTTGTCAATTCCCTATCACTTCCATTCATGTTTGGATCTCTTTTAAATTTCTCCCTTTGATTATGGAATTTCGCTAGCATACATGATGGTGGGTCGGGTCAACATATTCTGATTTTTCCATAACCGCATTACGTGTATGTAACCGATGCCATTAATTATTAATTGTCAAAATTAACATCTAATGATTGAGATTACAAGCGATATGACGACTGACTAGTCGAGACGACGTGCTAATATATAGATTACATTGAGCATCTTCTCCCCTCTTCCGTCACTCAAAAGGGCAGAAACATAAACCTCTACATTTTTTCCCCCACCAATCAACCATCTATAAATACCAGCATAATCATTGCATCCATAAAGTAAGCCATCCATCTCTTGAGCTTTTGATCAGTTCTACGCTGACACTTAACTCCTCTCCACCTTTATAAGCAAAACCGAAGGATGGATATGGCGGCCATTTCCAAGAGAAACAAGCCCAATAAACATGTCTCGACGTCTGTGCTCGTCATCATCATCATCCTCATCGTCTTACCCGCCTCTTCTGCCTCGGATAGCTCCACCAACAGCCCTCACAATGCGACTCCTAGTCCTGGATACCTCGGCCACAAGCAGCCCGTTTACGGTGAGTTCATATGAGCACTTCTACTATGCTAAATAGTATTGGTGCTTTAATGTACAACTTAAAGTTGTACCATAATATTAAATGTATAAGTTTAGGTTATACTATAAAGCAATTTGTACCATTATGTTATGGTACAACTTTACAACTTGAAGTTGTACCATCACATAAAGGGACAAGTTCAAGTTGTACCATAAAAGAATTTGGACAAAAAGTATAGGTACAATATGAATTTGTACCATAACGTAAATGTACAATTTTAAGTTGTACCATAAAGGCAAAACCCTATAGTACCAATACTATATAGCATTGTAAAATTTCTCGAGTTCATATATGTCAAAGGAATCGCGTTAACTCTAGTATATAAATTTCATGTAAGTAGTTAACTTCAATAACCAATTGATCATGATAACTCGAGTTTTTGGGAGAAGGTTATGTTGGATCTTATACATGCCCATGTAAGTATGGTATTTAACAACTTTCTTACACGCCCCCTCAAACGAAAGCCGACTCATGGACTTGAAGTTTGCACAGGCCCGCCATACCATGTACTTGAAAGACGACGGTTAATATTGGGAGTCGTGAGAACTTGAACACGTGACCTGAAGGACAAACCAGCTCTGATACCATGTCATGAACCAGTGGATCAACTGGTTCTTGACAGTTAAGTTTCTACTAACAGTTTTTGTTAAAGAATGGTACAAGATCATATTTCAAATCTATCTAACGTGAGGTCGCATTCAAACTACTATGATTTTCACAGCAAAACCTTTAGTTAAGGAGGTTTCGGTACAGGAACATGCATGTGTGTGTGAAAGAATGATACAAGATTTGATTTTCAACCTCGAACAACAACATATATAACTGAATTATATATGGGAAGAGATGGTATGGTCCTTTGTATGAATTATTTATAGTGATAATCATCTTGTGGCTCGTTTTGGAACAGGAGGGAGGAAGGTTGTTGTGGAAAGAATGCTAAAGATAGACATCACTGACGATTATCCTCCGGCGAGAGTCAAGCCGGCAATGCCAACACCATGTTGTTAAAAAGGAAAAATCGTGGGTGTGAAGCTGTAAGGGGATAATATTATGGGGGTATATATGTATATCTACCAAAATACAGATGCCTCTAAATAAAATTTTTGGATGAAGATACTAATATTTAGTCTCTAATGATATACATGTATTTGGTTAACGATGTCATGTCTGCCGACAACCCCTAGCCATGCGAACCATGTTCATCAAGAAGAGTAGCATGACATGCCTTATAGCGAGACAACCTAACATATCTAACCACCATGATGGCTAGCTAGCATGCAATAATGGCAATCATGTTGCTAACAACTCACATCCAAAAGTGAAAGAGAAATAATGCTCAAGCTATTGACATATTTCAAATGATCATATGAATTTCTCTCTTCAGATTTTTTAACACATATGCTCCATTGTAGTAGGTGGTGTGGACGGCAAACGGTCCATATGCTACATACTCATCCGCATCTCATGCCATATAAGTAGCATGACGTATCAAACATATCATAAGAATGTAAGAAATTCCAAGGTGTCAGCAACTACACTGTTAGCCCAAATTAACATGGCCAATTTCGAACTAGACTGAAGGAATTACGCATGTTTACTCACCGTTGTGAGGTCCTCACAACAAAGTCTAACAACTCTAATTGAAGCTTATCATCTTTGCATCTTCTTTATTAGGCATGATTGGCTTTTTTTTATGAATGGTAGAGCTTCTATTTCATCAAAACAACCCGAAGGTAAAGCACGTGGCCGCAACCCTAGCCACTAGGAGAAAACTGTTTTAGAGTAAAAGTAAATAACTATCAGCTATTAACTATCAACTAAGTATAGGAGCCAAGAATAGGGGGAAATGAACCCAGAACCTTACTACAGAAAGAATGCAATCTCAGAAGGAGCACATAGCACAGCCAAGTCCTCTTTGGCTTTCCGAACCACTTCAGCAACTTGGGGAATTCGCTTACAATGACGACAAGCACGTCTATCTCTCCAAATACCACTTACCAGAGTCTGCCACAGGATTCTCCCAACTTTCGCACAGAGAGCAGAACCAGTAAAAGCAGAAACAACCCACTGAAGCTCCGAGTCCCAACTGACAGAAGGGGCCCTACTAGTGAACTTTTTGAAAAAACAAGAGTAAACCTCTTTATACCGGCCACATCGCGAGAACAAGTGGTCCCGAGTCTCAACTGCGGAGCTGCAAAAAAACACAATTAAAAGCTCCCTGGTAACCCCAGGACATCAATTTATCACACGTAGAGATAGCCCCTTTCACAATTTGCCAGCAAAGGAATTGATTACTTCTTATAACTGGTTCTTTCCAAATCAGCTTAAACCAATAGACTTCTGCAGTTCGAGGCCTGAATAATTCCCAGGCCTTTTTTATGGAGAACTTCTTTAAATATTGTCCCTGCCAGTAGCATTCATTACCCCTAACTTCAAGAATTCCGTGCACCTTACTTCTTAGCTTGAGGATTTTCCTCCAGAGCCATGAGCTAGAGTTGCTCTCCACTAGCCAAAAGTCATTATGGCGCAATCTATATGCTCTCATCCAAGCTACCAATAGGGAACCATCCTTAATCAGAAGGTCCCATATATCCCCAACCCTCCTTCTTTCTTTGGCAAGCTAAGTCCACTCCATGCTATGGAAGCTTTGCTCCTACCCTCAACATGAACTCCCCATAGGAGATCACTGTAGAGCCTCTCTACTTCCTTAACAATTTTCTTAGGTAAGATAAAAACAACCATCCAGAACTGTACTAGACTGAGCAACACAAAACTAACTAACTGCAGCTTCCCAGCATAGCTTAACAGCTTAGCCCCACAGCTTTGAATTTTACTCATTATTTTAGTCAAAAGTGATAGGAATTGGGTTTATGAAAATGGAATTAGTGGGTCCCATCACTACTTATTATTATTTTATTATCCAACTATCACCGGATTAATTCCCTAAATATTGTTTTTTTATTTACCACGAATATGGTGGTTTAAAAACTATTGACACATATATTGTGTTTTTTGGTGTGTTGAAAGGCCTCAAGCCCGAGACTCAGGCGCGGCCGCTAGGTTTTGGTTTTTCAATAAAATCCAGCGGCGGCGCCCAAGACTGGGGCTTTGGCGCTTGATAAAAAGCGGCAGCGGCGGCGCCCCAGACTGAGGCTTGGTCGCTTCCTTCTTCTTCCACTCCAGCACCACTCCATCACCATATATACTCCACCTTTCCTTCGGTTCTTCACCGCCAAAAAACTGAAAGAAGTTCCGAAAGAAGCTCTAGTGTTGCTGTTTGGTTGCTGGTAGGGGTGGCTACACGGTCTGGTCCGGTTAAATTGGCCCAAATTGATCCAGTCCAGTCCGGTCTTTTTGAAAATATAAGGACCGAAGATTGGATTGGATACAGTCCGGTCTTGATCCGGTCCGGTTTTGATTCGGTCCGGTCCCAATTCGGTCTTGATTTTACATTGAGATTGTGAGATTTGAGTGGCCTAACGCCTTAAAGGGTGAGGAGTTGGTTAAGTTTTGTACTAAGTGCAAAGGTTTGTGACCGTTTATGCAAATTACCCTTAAGTTTTGGGTGTTGAGCTCTCTTATCCGGTCTTTATCCGGTTTTTTACCTCAAATCTAAGCCCAAAGATTGGATTGGATTGTTTACTATCCGGTCCCGGTCCGGTTTCGGTCCGGGTTATACGGTACGGTTTCCGATTTTTAATCTAGTCCCGGTCCAAATAGCCACCCCTAGTTGCTGGGAATATGACTAATAATAGGTAAGAGACGTATTTAATTTTTTAATGTATTCTTCAAATGCTATAATGATTTTGTCCAGTTAGTAATTAGTGAGTTTGTTTTTTATGTAGTGGTTTTAGAAGATTTAAACTAGCTGTTGGTGGTCTAAGTTTTCATATGACTATTCCATCCAGGGTAAACTATCAGAAACTTTGTGATAATCTAATTCGGAGAATACGGCGTAGAGATGAAGTAGTATAAGATAGTGTTGTGATTACAAGTTTCACTTACTGTCTTCCAGAATGGCAGAATGGTGTTTTATTTCATTATGCGATGCCTATTGTCGATGATGATAGCTTGAATGTGCTTTGGAATTTTATGGCACAAAACCCTTATTGTTTGGGTGCTGAGATACATGCTGAGCTCAGTGAGGATCGGGGTGGAGAGGAATAAGATGACACATGGAGCATGCCATCCGATCATGACTATGATGACGATGATGACGGAGAGGAGGAAGATGATGATGATGAGGAGGAGGAGGAGGAGGAGGACGACGACGAAGGGGAGGAAGGAGAACAACCTAATTATCCTTCATAATTTTACTTACAAGGTAATGAAGAGGACGACGAATTATCATATGTTGATTCATATGGCGTTATTCCAATGCCTATTGTTGGTGGTCTTGATGGAGAATTCTACAAGGGGCAAATATTTCACTCGAAACAAGCTGCAAAGGTGGCGATTAAACACTACGCACTACAACGCAACTTTCAGTATAACGTGGTGGAGTCGTCACCTTGAATCTGGAAGATCAGATGTTTGATGCACAAGGAGGACAATTGTCCTTGGATGGTGCGGTTTGGATGTCGACATGTGGGAGGCGATTGGACTGTGAGAAAGGCCGAGTTGGTGCATACTTGTAGCAGTACGACTCAACCGACGGATCATCACCATCTTGATGTCGACGTTATATCTGAGTCTGTGAAACACTTGGTACGTGCCCAACCAAATCTGAGTGTTCTAACTATGCAGGCCGAGTTGAAAGATAAGTTTAATACGCAAGTTACTTACAAAAAGGCTTGGTATGGGAAACAAAGAGCATTGGAGAAGTTGCATGGGAATTGGGAAGAATCCTACGATTATTTGCAAACATTTTCGCGGGTGGTAAAGAGAAAAATGCCAACATCGGTGATTGATTGGGTAAGAGTTCCTTCAGCTCAACCAGGTCATTCGATATTTCAGCGAGTATTCTGGGCTTATGGACCTTGTATAGATGGATTCAAGAATTGTCCAGGTGTCATGGTTGTTGATGGAACTTTTCTTACTGGGACGTATAAAGGAGTGCTACTCATGGCGAGCTCATTTTATGGCCGGAAGAAGATTTTTCCAATTGCATTTGCCATAGTGGAGAGCGAGAATACTGATAGTTGGCTGATAGACCATTGATTACACATGTTTTTACCCCTATTCTTGATCCGTTTGAGATGTCGATTCCCGTATTTTAGGTCGATTTCAGGCTAGGTTGTTCTTGTTTGTGATATTTCAGGTCCTAGTACGTGATTGAAGGTTTAGGAACGAGTTCGGGGTCGATTGGACGAAGTTTGGACGTTTGGCGAGAAGCTGAGAAGCCACACGGGCATGTCCAAAAGCCACACGGCCGTGTAGGAGACCCACTGTGGCCGTGTGAAGGCTCGACAAAAGCCACACAGGCAGCCTGGACACTCACACGGCCGTGTGGGTTGTGGCCGCGTAGGAAGTCTGAAGTTACTTAACGAAACGCCACGTTTTGAAAAGCCACACGGGCAGCTGAGGGAGTCACAAGGTCGTGTGACATGGCCGTGTGAGTCGGGATTTTCTGGTTTTAAGCCAATTTCCAGCCACAAGTGAGGGAGTTCTGAGTTTTAGAGAGACATAGCGATTCCTAGAGAGAGAGCAACGAACAAGAGTTCCCAAGTTCCCTAGCTTGATCTTCATCACCATTGGAGGCCGGCTTGAGCTTGGAGAAGTGCCGATCGACGCCCAGGAGCAGAAACCCATCCTTCACAGTATGGTTTCCGCATCTGAATCTGCTTTTGCTTCTTTCTCCATGGAGTAGTTTTCTCATTAATCTGGGTATGGATAACCCTAGATTTGTATGTTAGGTCTGATTGTATGAACCCAAGTACATATTTTATGATTTGATTATGTTCAATTGAGGCTTGAATGATTGAATGACTTGAATCCTGATCAAATTCCTATTATTTCTGCTTTAACCTAGAAAGAGAATATCTGCTAGGTTATAGATCACCCTTAAT